CATCACAAACCCAGGAAATGTTGATGACATCAGTTGCAAAGTATTAATAACTAGTGCTTGGTTCGGCTTTTCCCTAAAAACATGTCTACTTCCTCAGATATTAAGTACAAGTGAAATATTTCAGTATGAATTTGAGTGGTTTCTGTTTACTGTTTGTGTATTGGTTCTTAAAGTGCGTATGACAGATTTTTATGATTCTCAAATTTAGACTTAATTTGGTGGGATTATAACTATTGTAAATGTAAATTATAGTTTTACACCGATCAAGAAGAAATTTGCAATGAAAAGTTAAAAATAAAAAAGTTGAAAATTACAGGAAGTAGAGAATTCTAAGACATTGAGTACATCATGCTAGGGAGAATTCTGTCCAAAGGTTCATCACAGTTTACATTTAATAAACCATGTTTTATTTTATTATTATTACTTCAACGAAATAAATATCCTTTCTCATATCAGTATTTGTCAGATAATCATTCTGTTTACATTAGAGGAGTTTTTCTAGGTAATGGAATTCCCTAACGTAATGTCACAATTTCCAACCTGTCATAAGGGGTTAAGGCACCTTAAGGGGACAATATGTTTCCTGCATTCTTACTGGTTATTACACTCACAATTGAACCTGTGTTGCCAGTGCTTTAACCTGCAGATCGAGGACAAATACAAGTCTTCCTCATTCTTCAGTATATTCAGTACATGACCAGGCCATGCCAAATGTGAAAGCTCAAACCTCCAGATTTCACCATCAACATGCAGTTGCTGTTCATTATCATATGTGAACATAGCACTGTTTAACTGAATGCACGACAGAGAATCTAGTCAAGAGTTCATCTGGTAATCCTCATTCATGAGCCTGTGTGATTGTGTTGTGCTTGTTGTTGGCGTCATCTAGTGGGAATGTCATGAATTGCAATTATGTCTCAAGGTTATGAAGTGTTGTTAACAAAAGACACAAGCCAAACATACGTTTGTCATTTTGTATAGACTGCATTTGGAACAAGAGGTCACTGGAACACATCAATGTAAAATAATTGTCAGGAGCCATCTATTTTGTGAACATGGTTCACATTTCTCTCTTCAGAATGATTATTTAAAACACAGAAGTATGTCAGTAAATGCTCTTATTCCAACAAGCTGGTCACAAGACTATATCAGGTGTTAATGTGTTCAAAGCTGTAGTAAACAAACTAAAGGGGTTTGCTAAGGATCTCTCTATAATCCTCATTCACATGTTTATTAGTGCTACTCACCACATGTTATCTACATACACTAGGTCTAAAATAATTAAATCCATAAACATTTATGTGTGCATATTCTAAAAAGTATGGGATTACTGATGTGATTAGTATGTGATTTGTATGTGATTGATATGTGATGTAGATGTGATGTACATGTGTTGTGATGCATTATGAGGCCTCAGACTCCACAGTCTGTGATGTGACAGATCTGAGCAGATCCACACTGTCCTTATACTAACAGAAGGTGAGTGTATATGTGATGTACATGTGATGTTGTCTGTATATTGTCTGTATATTCTCTGTGATGTATTCTGAGGCGTCAGACTCTGATGTGATGTAAAAACTCTCCGTCGCTGCATACACACTGTTTTATGTTGGCAGATCCACACTGCCCTTAGTCGCAGAAGGTGAGTGTGTTGTGCGTCTGTCCTCACTGCGCATGTGTGTGAGTAATTCAAATTGTGTTGAGAGCGAGGGCTGAGCTGGGCCGGAGCCTGTTGCTATGACAACCACGGTTAGCTATGTGTGAGGGAGCCGTGATGAGGCATACAGTAGCATGTTGTACTTGTACACAAACTGTAGCCGCCATGCTAACGCTAACACATGTGCTGTCACACAGACTGACCCTCCTCCACAGACAAAGAAGGAGCTGTGTCCGACCGCTGCACCCGCGTGACATCACCCTCTGTGACATCATCAGCTCATCAGCATTCAGACAGCACCCGCTCCAGCACCCTGCTACTGAGCATGCTCAGAGCACAGCTCCCAGGCCGCATGACGATGCTATCACTAACACACTTAGCCAATACAAACAATACAGACAGAGGGCAGAGCGGCCGGAGACACCACCGCACTGTCATCACTACATGTACAAGACACATGTACACCATGTACTACATGGACTACATGTACTACATGGACTACATGTACTACATGGACTACATGGACTACATGGACTACATGTACTACATGGACTACATGTACTACATGTACTACATGTACACAAACATGACTGATGTGTAGGCCTGCACTACAGTCTACAGTGACATCAGCTCCCATCAGGCATCAGCCCTTAGAACATGATAATACCATATGTAACTGTGAATCCTTCAAACAGAGAAAAGCTCATCCCCAGCAGTGTCTCACCAAACAGGTCAACAACATGGTGTTTTAACAACATATAGTATAAGGGTCATTTTGTGTCCAGAGGGTTATCGAGTTTACAAATGATCCAAAGCAGGAGGGGACTTTACTTATAAAAATCTACCACACATGCAGATCCTGTGCCTGTTCAGCCTGGTATTTCTCTGTTTATTTACAGCATCTGAACTTTAGTTACTCAAATTACAGCAAAACGTTATAATGAATATTTAGAACAATCAATAAGAAGCAGCAGCATAAACCAAGCCAAGAGCCAGTATCACATATCACATACAGTTAACATTCAGGAACAGAGCAATAACACTGTTCTAAGGTTTTGACTTGAGGTCTGTAAGCACAGGCCTGTTCATATCCTCATTACAATAACAGACTTATTTAACACTCTTTGGACCTGAGACAAAGGGAAACAGCTTAGTTTTTGTGGATAAACACTGATGCTGTAAAATGACTTCAGTTCATCCTTTTGGGGGAGTTTGGAAGGAAAGTTTAGGCCCAGCTTCTTTGACCTGATCCAGACATTTCATTCATATAATCAGCAACATTTTCTACCATCAAATATAGTTTACTGTGATTCCCAACTGCATTTTGACAGACATAATGATTATCCTTGAAAATGTATAAAAAATATTCAAAGGTTTAATGAAACAAATTGATTTATTACAAATGGTCGTCCTACTGAAAATGTATTATCATCATTTTTTTTTTTTTTTTTCCCCCAATTTTCACTTTTTGATTCATAGAATTTCAAGTTTAAGATGATCTTTTCACAAAATTTCATATTTTGAGAATATAGGCATTACATGAACATCATAAAAAGGTTGGTGGTGCAATTCCAGCTTCCACAGATAAAAAATAAAAATAATGCATTGGTTTTCTGCAGCACTTTTCACATTAACTCAAAGACAAAACAAGTAGTGATGAAGCAGTCATTTGTGGAGGTCATAGGCTATGAGGAAAAGTTACCAGTGTGTCCTTGGGCAAGACACTTCACTCTCCTCATCCCCTGTCTACAATGGAATATGAATGTGTGTAAATGAATGAGTGAGTGCTTCCTCGATGTAAAGCTCTAGGCCTGTCACAGTAATGAGTTTGAAGCACGATATGTTGCTACAGCGATAAATTGCGATAATCGATAACACTGAAACTATTTAAAAATCCTAATAAAACATTTTAAATATAGAGTATCATTAAAAAACATGAGCTGCCACACATAAATCGCCAAATGAAGTGACTCTCTACAAGAAAAATGACAATAAACTTTAAAATTTTGCAAAGAAAAGGTACAGTATATAATGATAGTAGCAATTTATTTTGGGTTTCAGTATTTAACATGGGTACTTTTTCTTTTGTACTACTGTTATTTTGCAGTACTGCGACAAGATTTGAGCTGTGGACGGTTGAATTATGAAGTTCTATGACTCTTTATACATGCAAACTAAATATGAAAGTCTGCTATTTATTTATTGCAGTTTGTGTGTGTGTTTTTGTTTTTGTTTTTTGTTTTTTAATCATATTATACATTTAAATACATATATATACATAGTAACTACCATATGGGTCAGTGGTGGATGAAGTACTCAGTTTTGTTACTTAAGTAAAAATGCAGATACAAAGGTAAAAGTTTACTCAAGGAAAAGTAAAAATATCACATGAAAAAAAAAAAAAATCCAAGTAAACATGTTAAAGTAAATGTCTAAAAATGTTAAATAAATATATTTTGCAGAGATTTTTAGAACATTTAAAGGATGAAATGTGTTGACTTTAAAAAATAATTTAGACAATATTAAGTGATTCAACTGATTTCTTGATTTTTCTAGTCACTTATGTGAGTTTGTGTATTTTTTTGAGTTTACTCAATTTGTTTGTGTATTTGGGCTGTTAACTCAGATTAAACGTGCTAAAAAAAAAAGTAAAATCTTCCACCATTTCAGCGAGACTCAAAGCATAAAGAAAACTACTTTTTTCTTTTCAGTCCAGATCTAAAATATAGTGGAGTAGAAAGTATAGATACCTGCTCTCAAATGTAGTAAAGTAAAAGTAAAAAGTATCCACTGTAAAACTGACTTAAATAAAGTACAGATACCTAAAGTTTGTACTTATGTATTGTACTTTTACTTTTGTAGTTCGTTACCTTCCACCAACACTAGTATTACACACGTATGCTTATGTGTATTTTTGCGTACTGTGAATGAACTTTAATTATTTTATTAAATTTTTTATTGCTATTTTATGATTTTATGGGTTTGCTTTAATTAGATTTTATACTAGTTTTATTGTTTTAGGACTGGTATGATCACATTTTTAGCAATTATACCTTTCTTTATCCTCTTTTTCTGATTTGGAAACCGCTTTCTTTGTATAACGTGCTATATAACTAAAGTGGATTTGGATTTTATGTGAATTTTTGTGTAGTGTGAGTGAACTTCGTCTTTCCATTTTGGAGGCCATCTCTATTTTCTCTTCAACAATGTATAATCCTTCAAAATTTGTTATCGTGATAAGCCTAATATCGTAAGTAGTTGACCAACACAACACAAAACCAAAGCCAGAAACACATGTATGCTTGTTTGTACTTTTGTGTGCAGTGCGTGAACTTAGTCTTACCTTATTGGAGGCCATCTCACTGACTGAATGCCGGGTTTGCAGGGTCTCCAGCTGGTCCAGGCACCAGTCCAGCTCCTCCAGGGTCTCTGTGGCCAGCTTTTGGTAGGCCTCCTCTGTGGGGGCAAGACAGGAGGGCAGGGGGTCAGTCAGGGCCCTCTTCAGCGGGCTACAGGATGGTCCAGGTTTGGGCTCTCCTCCCCGAACCCCACCGCGACCACCGCCCCCTCCCACCCCCACCATGGCCAAGCTGGGGTACCCCGAGTACACGCATGGGTGACTCTTCATAGTGGATACCCCAGCCAGGTGAATGGGGTTTTTATTCTCCCTCGCTACTCCCAGGGATTTTTGGTATAGTCCGACAAGAGATGATCCAAGAAAGTAGAACGTAAAAGTCAGTACATTCACGAAAACAATATTGTTATTTCATATTTGGCATGGTGTCTAAAAATGGTAAGATTTCGATAGTCCAAGATGGTGGAATTCCCCCAAAATTGTCAGTATATTCAGGATGAGAACAACACGACATTTTCATTCACACTTGGACAAATATTAGAGTTCATTGCGATGACAAAAAATCTTCAAAAATATAATAAATAAGTTAGATGTATTCCTCTTCAAAAAACAAAATAAGGTCCAAATTGTCCAAGATACAACGCACAAAAAGGTTCAGTACATTTCAATATTCTCATTCACACTTCGACAAGCTAAAATCTTCTGTCCAAAAACGTATAAAAAAATAAGTTAAGGTAATATCCGAAGTGTCCGAGATGCTGGGATTTCAAAAGTTGCCATATGATTGAAATTCCAGTTGTATTGCTCCACCATAAAAAATACGGTAAGGTCCAAACTGTCTCCGAAAAGGTTAGCAGTACATTTCGGATGACAACGTTACGAAATTCTAAATTGAACTTGGACAAATCGTTGTATAGGAAGCTACCATTGCAATCCCAGATATTATATTATTCTTCCAAAAACAAGGTAAGGTCCAAATTGTCCAAGAAGGTCTAGATTTCAAAAAGGTTACCAGTACATTTCGGGTGACAACATTGCAAAATTCTTAACCAGACTTGGACAAATCGATGTATAGGCGGCTCTTATTCCGATGCCAGGTGTAATTCCAATCGTGAAGCAAGATGAAGAGAAGTCTATTTAGCAGGCCCATGTTGCTGCTATAGGTAAAGATGGACTGACACGAGACGAGAAACCAAATCTCCCTTCAGGAACCGGCTAGGTGACCGGTAACGCAATCCTGCTCCATCTCGACACCGAAAACGCACGGTACATCTCACGGCAAGCCAGACATTCACACGCGTTAACCCCTCTGCTAACCACAACACATCATGTATTCGCCCCCCTCCCCTCTGTCACAGCAACCATAGAATCCATAGATGAGGATGGAGCAGTCCCCGATTCAGTTCAGTGCCAAGGAGGTGGAAGCTGGGGACACACGGCTCATTAAAACAATAATAACAGTAAGGTATGGTTTGGTTGATCTTGGTTTAGCGTCCCTGGTAGCTAAATGTGCTCCTTCCTCTCCCAGCTGTATCTAAAGCCAGAGAGGACTACTGCACCGTGGATGGGAAAAAACGGCGAGCGCTGAAACCTGGAGCGGAGTTGAAGAGGAGGTGGAGTCGGTGCTGGGAGATTCCACTGTGCATTTAAATGTGGCCTGCATACAAATTCAAGGCACAGGGAGGTAAACAAAGCCATGCTAGCAACAGGGAAGGCTAATGCTACCGGGTTGATTTTAGCAACCTGAATGTGCACGTTAGGGCTGAAATTACTAGTCGCTCGTAACGTTTCGCTCAAATTTTGTCCAATGTTACGAACTGGTGTGCTTTATATCATTAACATGGTGGCTGCTGTTGTGAAGACATGCACAATTGGTTAACCTAATTAGAGCAGGGGTCTCCAGTCTTTTTCCTTCTATGAGCTACTTTTTGTAAAATGAAAATGCTAGAGAGCTAGACATTTTTAATCAGGCTGGTGCCACCTAATGCCTCCGCTCAATTTCATTTCTCTTCAGCAACTAGGTCAGAAATCAAAATACAGTAGACGGTTCGCAAAACCCCGTTTTGTGGAAGTGGAAGTCCGGGCACCAGATAATCAACGAAGAGGCATAAACTCAGGTTTAACAACGATTCATGAGGTCGAGGATTTAAAGCCGGAATAAAGAGAATGTTTGGTGAATTTCATCAAGAGGAAAGACGTTATTTCTCTTCTTCCTATGGGATTTGGGAAAAGCTTAATACACCAGTTATCCCTGTTAGCAGCGCATTACATACGTGACTACCAAATAGCAGCGATTGGTTAAATGATAAAAAGTACCCACCTACCGTTGAGCGAACGAATTCTAACACTGCGAGGTCAGACAGTTTCTACGAAGTGAAACCGGCTGATGAATCAGGCTAACAAATTTTAGTGGCCGCAAGAAATTTTTTGTAAATATAAGAGCCATGGTAAGACAAAGATGAGGTACAGTTAGATGTCTATCAAACATAATCCATTATCCAGTTATCAGTGCTCAAAATTAAGCATAAAAATTATACATTTATAAAGGAAATAGGCATTTAATCAATCAATTTTGAGTTATTCAGCACAATACGTATAATTCAGTAATAACTTGGCGAGCTACTTTTAAGGAGGTGGAGAGCTACAGGATGGAGACCCCTGAATTAGAGGTATACCAATACACGAGTTGGCTGATATTTGCCCTTTTTAGTATATCGGCTACTGACCATAAATCTCGATATTTTGTTTTGCTCAAACAACTGCCTGAACATGCAAGAAAAATACATGGATAAGGCTTTGTTGGGTACTGCAAAAACGTGACTGCACTGGACTCCACAGTTTGTAGTAAAAGAATATTGTGGATCAGTTTTTTCTACATTTTCATTTAGTAATTTGGGAAAAATTACCTAAATCAGCCTTGCATATCAGCCCAAAAAGATCAGCATACCCTATCAGCCATCGATTTCTCTGGATTCTAAACAATCGGCATCGGGCATGAAAAAAAAGCATTTTGTTGATCTCAAAATCTAATGTTACGCCGAAAATCAAGAAACAAGTTAAAAAGCTATATAAAAACAACAAACAACAACAACAAAAAAGCTACTATAAAGTAGGAGCGAAATCTTAGAGGTGCACTACAAAACTTCTCTGGTGAGCAGTTTTTCACCAGCATGTCACCATGGAAATGGCATTGCTTGGCCAGGAATGTTTCCCATTGTGTTAGTAAACTTATCCGGCAGGGAGAAAAGCAAGTAAGGTCTGTGGAGGGGGGAGCCTGCTCACACTAGGTAATGTCGACTTTGCTATTCGTGAGTTAAATGTGTTTTTACTGCTCTTTTACTTTATACAAAATCATGCATTCTCACAGTGAGCGGGGTCTCCTCTCCACAGACCTAACTTGGCCTGTGGCTTCACCTGCTTGTCCTAGTGGAAAGAGAAATGTTTTCTCTCATACTGTTGAAATTTCCGGGTGAAAAATTTCTATGGAGACATGCAGATGATGGACTCTACCAGAAAAGTTACTTAGTGCACCGTTAAAGGTACTATATTATGCAAAATTTACTCTTGTGAACTTTAAAGGGACAGTCCAGAATTTTGGACAATGGCTAACTAGGAAATGAGGCCCTGAGTGTTGGAGATGTGTGGAAACACTTTCTTAAATATTCCATCCAGTCCTTGTATTTGCAGAGGTCGCTGGTGCTCGGCTCGTGCATGTCAATGGCCATAGTTATCCTGCCACTAAAAACAGTCTTACCTACTCCACAAAACACATAAAGAAAATCTATTATTACAACAGACTGTCGATGTGAATGTCTGTGTTGATAGAATAATGTTTGAAATTAAACTAACCTTGCATCGCATGAATTGTCTCACGTTGAAGGACTATTTTTTCATATATCAGTCCGCCACTGCCAAGCTTTCTATCAGGAAGTACAACTCACTGCTGCTGCTCAGACATAAATCCTTCAAATACAAGGTTGGTTTTACTTCTAAAAAATATTCTATCAACACAGACATTTACATCGACAATCTGGTGTAATAATAGATTTTCTTCGGGTGTTTTGTGCAGTGTGTAAAACTGTTTTTAGTGGCAGGATAAATATGGCCATTGACATGCACTAGCCTAGCACCAGTGACCTCTGCAAATACAAGGACTGGATGGAATATTTTAAAAATGTGTCTCCACACGTCTCCAACACTCTGGCTCACTAGGAAATGAGGTCCTATGTCCAAAAGTCTGACTTATTAAAACATACCTGGAGTTGTAGTTTGTTTGGTTCACACATGTTTGAGTGATCCTTTGTTATTAGTCTGTTTACATCTCCAAAGCTCAAAATGCTCAGTTCCACCTCGTGATGTCATGTAGTGGTAGTTTTCAAGTTAAAAGCTGTTCTTTACCTTTAGTTCAGCAGAGACCGGCAATTCCAGGGCCAATCCAAATCCAAATGATTCTAGTGAAGGTGTATGGAGATTAAAAACACACTGTCACACTTCCTGTATTACCACATGACATCACAAGGTGGAACAGAGTATTTTCAGTTTGAGAGAAGAACTCAGTCTAAATATGTAGGGTTTATGTGTTAAATGTGAGTGAATGAAACAAAACACAACTCCCAGTCTGTTTGTGATGAGGAAACAACATTATAACAGAAAGCAGAAAATATTGTAACATGGGCCCATTAACAACAAGGTGAAAATCATGTCATCGTATTTACTTATCATAGATCGTTTGCCTATAAACTTACTAAAATAACTATAATCTAAAGCAAAAACAACTGAATATGGGTCAAGCCAATTAGCAGGACAGTGGTGGTGTAAGGACAGGTGATAGGTGGTGGTGGCTGTAATTGAATTGCCCCGGAGTAAAGCTCTTCCTTCAGTTTCAGTGTAGAATATCACTTATGAATGGATTTAGGCTAAACAGTGACATACAAAAAAGGTTTCTGAGAATTAACTGGACATAGGAAACTTTAAAAAACAGCTAATCTCTGTTTGAATACCCGTCTTCTGTCAAATGAATTATTCATTTTTTGTTCATTTATTTAGATTCGCGTCAGAGTTGAAGGTGTGTTGTGTAACTTTTCTGGTGGAGGTTCCGTCA